CAAGTACCCGAGGAAGTGCCCGGGAAGTACCCGAGGAAGTACCCGGCAAGTGCCCGCCAAGTACCCGGGAAGTACCCGGNCTTCCCGGGCACTTGGCGGGTACTTCCCGGGCACTTCCTCGGGTACTTCCCGGGCACGTGGTGGGTACTTCCCGGGCACTTCCTCGGGTACTTCCCGGGCACTTGGCGGGTACTTCCCGGGCACTTCCTCGGGTACTTCCCGGGCACTTGCCGGGTACTTCCCGGGTACTTGGCGGGTACTTCCCGGGCACTTCCTCGGGTACTTCCCGGGCACTTCCCGGGCACTTGGCGGGTTCTTCCCGGGCACTTCCTCGGGTACTTGGTGGGTACTTCCCGGGCACTTGGCGGGTACTTGATTATTGCAATTTATGAATGGACTCGTTCTAAATCGTGTACAGACGACATACCCGGGAACATAAGCAAGACATACCTAACAACAATATTTTTGACCGAGAGCTTGACTATTTTTGCAAAAATACTATCGTGTAGAGTGGACAAAATCCCAACTGATATGGTATTTTACTTACATTCGAGGTAATATTACTTAAGTATAAAAATTTAAAGATGTTTTTGTCCAACATGAGAGTGAGAAAGACAGTAAGCGCGTGGATAAACAACTGACAACATAAGGAGCAGACAATATTTACCTTAAGGTAAAAAATTTTACATCCAACCTTCAAGTTACCAGCAGTAGCTGACGCTCTTGCGTGCGCACATGGATATAGTTCTCACTGCTCACCGACTAAGCTCCAATAACAATGTGGCAACGTCGCGAGTTCATGCGGGCGCGCTATAGCCGTCCAACCCTATTTAGGGGTAGTTTGGAACGTATTTTCTATCGGCTCCTATTTAAAAGCTATTTGCCCTAAAAAATTAATTCCAACGGGGTTCGCGTCAGAAAAAATCGCTCTACACGCGGTTCTCGGGAAATGCCACCGTTACATATCATGCTGTATATTTCTACCGATATAATGTATCTGCATACCCTACAATTTAACAGCCATACCTTTTTCGCAGGTAAATAATGATAATACTAACATTTCAAGCTATCATTTCTCCTCAAAAGTTTATTTCTTCGAAAAAAAGAGAAAAAATAAAGTACTTATTGATTAAGCTTAAGCAATTTTCAGTGGTTGTATTTTACAGAATCTTAATATCTTTCATGAATTTACACACCATCGTTAAAGTATCGTAAATGACGCGTTTTTGTTGTGAATCTTCGCCGATGAATCGATATGGAGAAGTCAAGACATATTAGTGGAGGATAGGATAGGAGAGCGTATGAGTGATATAAGCAATCAAGTAACGGAAGCTAAAATTAAAAACTCAAAGTACAACCCCAGGTATAAGGATATTATGGGGATTGGAAGGGAGGAGTATTTAAGCAAGCAAATTTAGGGGATTTGTATAAGTCATGTGGCAAAAGCCAGATGTGGGAATCTGGATGGGGGAAATAGGTATTGGTTAGAAAATGATAAAAGGCTATGCGCATTGTGTAATTGTAAGGAAGGGAGTTTGGAACATTTAATAAAGGAATGTAGAATTGTAAAGGAAAACAAGGTATGTAACCTAATAAACGGAGAGCTACATGTACAAAAAATGTTAAAGGAGGTTAGCTCGTGTAAAATTTTAAAAATATGGGGTAGATTAAATAATTTGTATGAGAAAAAAAGGGCCGAAACTGTAATACGCACTGAATGAATATTTATATGTATGTAGTAGCAAGTAAGATTAATGGATTATTGAAAGTTATTGTATAAAAAGTGAAAAGATTGTAGAATTAGTAAAAAAAATTAGGACTGTGATTTAAATAATTTATGTAAGGTATGTAAAGTATGGAGATTATGTAAGCTATGTAAATTATGTAAAGGTAAAAAACCTCAGGATTAAGGTAATGTTACAATTTTGTTTGTATTGATCACTGTACTGAGTCCGTTTTCTGGACCTAATTGGTTGAAAACTAATTAAGATATACATATTTATACTTTTCTGTCCTCGTTGATCACCGGATAAACGTTAATAATATTAAAAAGATTAGTCAGTACTTCAGCGATTCGAATCACATTCGACAAGTATCTACCATGTGATAAATGATACAGAAACGCAGCAACATAAAAGCAACATACAATTGTTTGTAGGCCATTAGCATAACTGCAGCAGTATCCTTTTCTTGCAGTTATATTGTCCTTATTAGGATAGTAAAAAATGTAACGTTTGTAAGTTATGCCTAGATCTTACTTCAAATCTTACAATATCTGTATCAGCTTTTAAAAAACTTATATGAAGAGTATTATCATCTTCAAGTGTTTCCCCTAAATACAAAATAGCTTGCTGTAATTGATATGATCCCGTGAAGAAAAGTTCTAGTTCTTCTAATGTCAGTTCTGGGAAGTTGAGCAAAGCAGAAGAAGATATTTTTTTAAATGGTACTGATTTCTGATTGTAGTTTGAATTCGCTATTTTTTCTGCTAAATAATTTACGACATTATTCTGCACATTGATTCTTTCGATAATAACATCTAATTTATTATTGTCTAAGTTAAGTCGTGGTCCAGTGATATTTTGAATGAAACAAGCAACTTGACAGTATGTTCCAGCATCTAGAAGGGCTAGATTTCTGAATTGATGATGTAACAGTTTATACTTTTGTGCGAGAATTTCATGTATAGCTTTGGCAAACCAACGAAGTTTCGTAACATACCTTGATTCATTCGATTTTTTAGTGGTAAGTTGATTTCTTCTTCTTTTTAAGGCTGGCATCAGTACTTTTAAACATTTTTCTTCTAAATGAGTTCTGATATCTCTGAATTCACGGTCCAGAATGAAAACATCTCCTTCTTTTAAAATACTCAAAAGTCCATTTGGATCTTGTATAATATGTTGAAGTATCGTGGCATCATTTAGAGTACCTTCTAATGGCCCAGCAAGATCAATAATATATCCATTCGTGGTACAAATAGTAAAAAGCTTGCATAATAGAACTTTTTTTGTCTAAAATAAGATTTTTGCTGATAAGCATTATTTGCACTTTTCTCGTGTCTCAAATAAATACTATCAAAAATAACAAAGAAAGTATCATCCAAATTGTACTAAAGTTCCACAGCCTTTGCCTGTTCTTTCAAAAGAAAGTTTCGGTTATGAGCACTAATTCCAAAGTTCTTTGGAAGTATCCGTTCTTTAAAGCACTTCAAAACAGAATTTATCGATTTTTCAACAATTTTTTCAGTAACTTCAAAAATAGCAGCTATCAATGCATTTGGATTTCCTGATCAATTTCATCACGTAGTTTTGCATTAGCTTGGTTTGACAGTTTTTGATAAATGTTTTAGCCTTTCCAGCTTTAATCATAGTCTCTGTCGAATAAACAGACATCGTTGATATCAAGTTTTCATAAAACCTTTTTTTAATCAGATGGCTAGGACAGCATCGATTCCGGTTGAGAATGAACAAACGTCTTTTCGTAAAAACTTGAGGACGAGCATATCGATTATGTTGTTTCTCTCCCTACATAAAAAATAATATGCTTTTGAAAAAAACCATTCTTTCGAAAAGCATGATGATACGTTCAATCTCTTTACCTTCAGATTCATCCGTTGGAAAATACATCGAGTGTTCACTTGATTCCTGGTTTGATGAAGTTTAGTTAGATTTTGGTTAAAACTGAGTCGATTTTTGTGATGATTATTCATTAAATGTTCTTATCTCGTCTCGATCTATCGAAACTTCAGGTAAGGCTTGCGATAGTTCCATATCATCACTTTGAAACTCGGTTGAAATTGTCTGTTCTGGCAGAGTCTCTGAGTTTCGATCAGTGTCTTCTGTTGTAAGATTTTTACAAAGTTGACTCTCTTCATACCTTAGTGTCGAGAAACATGTGTGACAAAAAGTATCATTTGGTTTTACATAACAGTTATAAGTTTTAAAAACTCTTCAGCCTGTTTCTTCGTTTGAATTGTTTTCAAATACTTGTTTTTTTTTCTTGCGCAGGAAGACTTGACACTTAAAACATTTAGTGTCATTCTGTTGACGTATTTTGTTTGGAGGCTCTTCATTTGGAGAACTCATCTCATCTTCTGTAAATCATGTGTTTATGAGTATTTGTTAGTACTACATGTAAAAATGATGCTTTGGCATTTAAGGAAATATTTTAGCTTTATATTGATTTTTTTAAGTAATATTTTAATAATAACAGAAGGTTATTGATATTGTATGAAAACAACAAAAGGTTAGATGATTTCAATACTTACGGAATAAAACGTTTTTTTAAAACTTTGTATGTTGGCTAATACGTGAAATATCTGATATCTGTACGGTAAAAGCCCCTATTCGTGAAGCACTCTCCACGATGAAAACTCAGCAATTAATCATAAGAACTTGAATGAAGTGAATTCAATATACTTACCGCGGTTGTAAATAAATAATTAAAGAGTTAAAAACAAATTTTTAAGCAATTACTGCTGAATTAAAAGTAAAATTCAAAAAATAACTCTAAAGGAAAGCACTTCAGCACAATGCTTACAGTAGCTTAGGTAGCAGAGAAGTAAGTACGGTGCAGGCAGTGGCACACTCTCTGCGCTCGCTCGTTCACCAGAGCACCACTATTGCGCTGGGCACTGACTGTCACGCTGTCAAGGTCAAACCACTCATCTTGATCATGATAAGTCTTTACGAAATAATGTACATTTTTTCAAAAAATTATTATTTCGAGTTATAATTAAATTCAAAAAATATTTTTTCCGCCTTCTAACCTCAAAATAGCACCTTCGCCGCTTGATTTTGGGTTCTCAGGCAGAAAAATAGTATACAAAACTCGTTCGAAAAGGCTTCTTTACGAACCTTATTACGGCCCTCGCCTTCGGCTCGTGCAGTAAACCTCTCGGTTCGTAAATCGAAACCTTTACAAACTCGTCCGTAATATACTATATTGGACTTAAAATATGTTGTAATTGAAAATGCTGTAAAAATTTTTATCACGTTTACCTAACAAAGATATACATATCTATTTTGTAGGATATACTATTTTTTAAATCTGCCGAAAAAAATGTTTAGTTATCCAAGACGTCTTTGGGCAAATGGAGCCACTGGCTATTCGTCTATTGATACTGCATCTGAAACAGAAATAAGTACTACTACTTTATCCCTTAAAAGTGGGGGAAAACAGTTATGTTGGAAAAAAAAAACCCCTAAAGATGAAAATGCTTTGTGCTCTGAATAAGTATTATATAAAAAATATTATTTTTTTATTTGTGTATGATAAAGAGCTTTGAAAAAATTACAAATACATACATACGTATACATGTGTGTATTCACCTATACAAACACTACTATTCGTAGAATGATTGCAGTGTGTTTAGAGATGTATCGCTATATTGACGAAAAATGGAGTTTGCTTTTTTTAACTAAAGTGAAGGTGTTTTTTTGTGTATTTTGCGTGGGAAACATGATTAACATAATAAGAAAAATATAGAAAAAATATATTCCATAGGGGACCAGAAGTGGTCATTTTGTCAATAACCTAATAACGCTTAAAAAAAAAGCGTATCAGCAACCAAGCTGAGAACAATAGATAAAATATACTTTGATCTGTGTCAATTGTTCGGGAAGCAATAATAAATAAAAATAAATTAAAATTCTTACCATTTTCAAATCAATAAACAATATGAATATACGTATTTTTTTACCTCACATTCGTGTTCAGCACCGCAAATAACATAAATATATGAATTCTCTGCCCATAGAATATATATATATATATATGGGTATACTCGAAAGTATATAATTTAACTGTGTTAATTCAGAGCTAAATTATATTGATTACGCACATATATGCCAGGGCGTCGACGGGGGCCGAGCCGCCGAGCCAATCATATACTTATTCCAATCGGGTCAGCCCTCGTTAGCACTCTGGCACATGTGCGCATAAGAGCTCCGTGAAGTGTGTGAACAACTTGCACGCAGCAATAAATAAAAAATACTTAAAAGTGCGGAATCGTATGCAGGTTTTGCAATTGAATCGCAAAAATTGCTAAGAGCTTACTTTCTTAATAAAAGAATAAAAAAACAGACAGTTAGCAAAAATTTAATTAAACGATGGTTTTGCCATTGAAGTATTGCCTAGAGGATTGGAACAGCAACCAATCGTTTGCAATTTTATTTCAAATGACGAAGGTGTATGCAAATTTCCAGTAGCACACAAGGTTTCAAAAAAGTTCGAAAAACGATTTTAAGTCTTTAAAACGTTTTAAAAACGTCTTAAAAACGTTCTTAGACGCTCTCTACTATTAGGGAATGCAATATAGCGTAATACGCTAAATTTATTTTATAATAAATGATTAAATATACTCAGCATGTAACCTGGTATAACCTAGCCCAAGGCGAGGGCCAGTATAGGTGTATGTGCACATTGCCAGTCCAGTTTCAGTTCAGTTCTTCAGTTCTTCGTCATAACCCGCCAGTCCTTCACCTTGCGTCGATAAGTTTGATTCCCTGTGATTTCGTATGGATCTCCAATTTTAATACAGGCACAATACATGTCAGTTCACTTTGGATATGTGGGGCTTATTATTCCAACAGGAGCGCTTGTCATCACGTAGGGGGCAAGCGTGTATTCTGTATATTCATTTACATATAATGAGCGCGCAGCAGGTAAATACAGATATACAAAATGTACGCTGACCCCCTATGAAATGGCGAGCGCTCTTGTCGGAAGAATAAGCCTCATTCACCATCTCCGCGAACACTAAATTGTATGCGACCTGGCAATGTTGTATGATTTGAGGGCGTTGGTTTAGCTTACTGGCGAGTGTTCCGCAAACCACGCCAGCAGTAAGCAGACGATGTAAGACAAAAAAGAGGCCTTTTTTCGATCAACAGGTGGTCAACAGTCAACAAACATACGACATTTACTGCTGGCGGGGTTTGCGGAGCACTCGCCAGTGATACAGTGGGTCAAAAGACAGTGGGGAGAATAGGGTCACGTGGCACTAATTTGCTCCGCCATTTATAGCACCTCTCACCACACGCAGTTCTATTACTTCTATACCTATTTCCATGGTACAAGAAGACAAAATACCATTAAAATCACATTAGAATGTTGAATCTCGTCAAACAGGCTCAATATCTAATTGGATATGACGTTATACGGGCTCCTCGTCTGATTGGACGATTCAGGTAAACGTGCGCATGGACGTACCTTGTATACTTGTACCGTGCCTATATCGTTACTGCAAAGTGAAAGAACGATATGTATGTATTGCTAAAAAGTACTGGAAGGTGCTACAACTATCAGAGACAAACAGCACACCGCGTCACTGTTCAAAAAAATCAAAAAATCAAACTGGATTTTTTCAGCAAGATCTTCACAGAATTTCTATGCTTCCGTATAGTTGTTTACTGTTATTTCTTGCGAAACCTCAAGTTATTTATTTTTGTATAAAATAGATATGTTTATATTATTAAAGATGGGATGTAGGTTGGAAAAAAAATCAAAGTCAAGTAAATAACGGTTTTTTGCATTTTTAAACATAGCGCACTACTGAAAAAAATCTCAAAAAATCCATTTTCGACTAACTTTTCAACGCTCTACAAGAAAGAAGAATAAAATTTTATCCAGGTGTAACAGAACCTGACCAAGGTTTTAAAGTTGGAATAATTTTTCTTAAAGTTATGTTGAACTCCAACAAATGAAAAAAAAATTCCTTTGAATAGTAATGTTAAACTATACACTCACAAATTTTTTAAGATTTTTTTGATAGTTAGGAAGCAAGAAAAAAAGAAGACGTAAGAAAGTGCTACGTTTTAAGTCTGTTGCAATCAAAAGAACGGTTTCTTACATTTTTGACCATGACGCACCACTGAAAGAAATCTCAAAAAGTACGTTTTCAACTTATTATTTGACGCTCTTCAAGATAAAAGAATAAGATTTTGTGCAGGTGTGTTAGAACCTGGCAAAAATAGCGTTTAAAATTTAAAATAATTTTTTCAAGGTTGCGTTCAACTCCAATAATGAAAAAAAAAATTTTATTCAAAAGTAACGTAAAACTATGTACTCCTGACTTTTTCCAGATTTATTTTATAAATAGAGAGCGAGAAAAAAATTAAAACGTGAAAAAAGATGTTTTTGGACCCTATCAGGACCCCAAAAATTTTTTGGAACCCTCTAATATCCTTTACTTTAAACAACAATTCGAGCCTTTCTATAAATGTTTCCCAATTGCCCGTCGTCAACCAAAATTTCAACGAATTGTTATCCACCATAGTTCCCTTAGAAATCACTATCACTGTCCAAACACGCGGATAAATTTTCACTCGAGTTTCATCTTAACTCTGTCTTTTCGTTTAATTTAGTATCAACTTGTTTTCCGTCTACTGAATTTTTTTTCTGACCCTGCAGCTGCCACCTTTTCGTCTACACTGACTTTTTTTCCTTAAGTCATAGAGCTACTGGTAAAGGCTATCTCTATTTTTTATCATTTTTTCACTACTTGAATTTTGGTCAATGTGTATGATCATATTATGTTTTAGAATTTCACGTTAGTATTTAAAACTAAGCATGTAAAAGAAATAATAACAAAAAAATCTAACGCATCTGAGATTCAATACTTATCAAATTTAACATGAAAAAAAAAATGGAATGAAAAAAGGTAGATAACTATAAACAACGAACACATCTATTCAATTTCCTCAAAAATTACTTAGATGCTGGAGCGGGGGAATGTGTTTTAAGTATAGTTTTAGAGTGTGTTCGAGTGGTTATAGTAGTACTTAAAATGTGCAGGGTAAGAGAGGGGGATCACATAAAATACAACAGAGTTTTACCGCATAAAGATAACGGACAAATCTACAGAACTTTTTCTTATTTTTCTGGGACAATCACAATGGGGTCGAATCTACAAAATCCAGACAAAAGTCCAAAAATTAAAAGTGTCACATAGGAATTTTTTTATTTAGGATTAGCTATATTTACGCGTTATACGTTACCAATACGATTGTAGCTGCACAGATGTTAGTTGTAACATAGCGTTCGTACGATCAGGCAGTCGAACGTTTAAAAGAGGAAAAGAAGACATATGATTCATTTTACGAAAATGGAAAAATGGAACAATTATTAAGTCTATTGGAATAAAATGGGATCATCTACAAGTAAGTAATGTATAACAAAATTTCCACAAAATTGTATTGTCTTAAGCAAACAAGTATAAAGTTGTACTTCTATAAAATTATGTGGCAAATAATATAATTTTGAGTATAACAATACCTTCTATGAAACAATATTGTGTACGAAGGTAGTGCAACTATCGTGGGAATGAGTATACCTCCGTTGATTGGATTTGATTTCAATTAATATTTAATGAGCTAACGATAGTAAAGAATATATTACGGCGCAATACAATAAAAATTATATTAAGGCTAAGCAGTACAAGATTGCGCTTTCATCGAATCTTCCGATGGTTGTAAAACAACTTCCTACTGCCTATACGCTGATTACAACTGTAACATTACGCTAACATTTATCACATATGATCCCACACTTATTCCTAGTCCATATTCAATACCCAAAGTATAACTATGCATAGAAGATTACGAAAAACCATCCTGTAGTATCGGTGTCTTCAATCGGGTAGTATTACATGCCAGTGAATTTCCCTTCAAGACGTTAATCACACATAGATTTTTTTGACAGATATTATTCAAACGTCAAACGAAAATTGAAATAGCATACAAAATTTCCACAAAAATTGCAGCTCGTTTGCCTGTACCATTATTCTATGTATGTTAAATTTAAAAAAATCGATATTTAACCTGTAACCTTATGAAAAAATCACGTAAAATGGCATTAATATGATTTGTAGGAATCTCTCAGTTTTATAAGTATAAAAGATTACATTTAGATAAGCCTACCGAATTTTTAAATACACCCACAAGTTGGTTTGTAAATAAATTTAGAAAGAGGGGATAAAGTGCGTATGAAAGCATGTATGTGAGTACATCCACACGAGAAAAACAATTTCTAGCTTTGATGCACACGTTAGCGTTCTTCTCACTTCTCAACTTTTCCCCAACTATGTGAAGAACGTCCTAATGTCAAAAAATCACTTTAATCCTGATG